TGGTACTTCGTTCATTACATATTATTATTTAAAAAAATAAACAATATATAAATAACTATGCATAATTTAAAAAGTTTGTATATATTATACTGTAGTATTTAAAATATATGTCTATCAATCTTGTATTTAAAAATATATATTATTTATATTAGTTCCTCCACTATTCATACAATATACATAATATTACCTACTTAATTGTCATACATATTATATTTGACATAAATATAAAATAGTACATAATATGTTTTCGTATTTTAATTAATTTTCAGCTATCCTAGTGTTATATCTGACATCGATATTAAATTATTCCAACGATGAGTCGACAATGATCTATCATGGCTTTATATTTTTATCGTATTTTATGCCATTGTTTGGTGCTATATTGGGCGACTCTTACTGGGGAAAATTTAAGTAAGAATACTTAAATACCTTCTTAATCTTCACGCACTTCTATAGTTTAATAAATTACTTTTGTATAATGTCTAAGGCTATTTTTTTTTCTTTGTTACTACAGAACTATAATGCGATTGTCAATAGTTTACGCACTAGGAAACATCATTCTCACTGGAGCTTCAATGGCCAACGATTTCACTCTCGATAATCAAAGGTAAACTGACGTTTTATGCTACTTAAATAAATAAGGTTAGTTACTTACATTAATCCTACAATCTATAATATAAATCCTATTGCTATGATCAGCATTAATTGTTGTTCACTTAATTAATTACAGACATTACTGTTATTCATATTACATATTATTGCATATTAGTTAAAAAATTGATTAAATATTTTACATATTACACAATTACTTAAAAATAACGACGGATAGTATAGTAAACTTAGTATAAAAATTAACTTCATAAAACGTATTCCTACTCTTTAAAAAGCTGATAAAAAAATACAAATTTTAAATATTTTAAATTTTTATAGTTATATTTTTCTTATAATTTCTTTTAAAATCATATGCATTGTAAAATATTATTATTATGTTATTATTTATAACATAAATTAAAATTGTTTAGAGGGGGCGTCATTCACAAGAATTAAATACAAGAATAAACGATGTTAGGTAAAATAAGTAGAGTATTATGTGTTAAATTGTGATCTATATCCACTACCAAGTACATAATTATGTGTAGATAAAGATTCATTGTTTTTTTTTTTTTTTTATCATGCGCGTATTAAAATATCAAATTTTTGATTAAAACAAAATTTATTTAAAAATTTTAGTTAACTGTACTATTATTGTAATGACGAGTGAATATTCTCAAAACTTGTAATATTACATTTTTTTTTTCCGAAAATACATTTAAATTCAATGAAAATAATGCGATGACTGTTGTTTTTTATTAGATTCATAGCCATTGTCGGTTTAATATGTATTGCGTTGGGAACAGGTGGCATAAAACCGTGCGCTTGCACGTTCGGCGGTGATCAATTCCAATTACCGGAGCAACAAGATCAACTAACCAAATTTTTCAATAGATTTATAACGGCCATTTACATTGGATCATTGATATCAACGTTTTTAGCACCCGAGCTGCGGAAAAGCGTACAGTGCTTTGGTAGAGATACGTGTTTTCCTCTGGCTTTCGGCGTACTATCATTACTCATGATAACAGCAATAGGTAATTATTTATATAAAGGTTATAAGAAAACTGTTAATAATATTAAATACCTACTTGTGGAACACGTTTGTTGTGTTCATATGTTATTTTCAATATTAATTAGGTGGTCAGCAAAATGTATGTATATTATAATCAATTAAGAACATGAATGATAATTTTTAAATACACAAGTTTGCATTTTTAATAACCATCTAATTTCTAAACTTTTCAGTTATTTTTATACTCGGAAGAAATTTGTACGTAAAAAGGAAACCGGAGAATCATGTGATCTTCAAAACCTTCGGTTGCATATTTGTAAGTATATTATTATTATTTAAAAAGGATCGTCGACATTTCAGTAATTTAATATACTCTCTTTGAAACGTTGATTATATTATGTGAAGTACGCTGCTCACAAAAAAATTATTTTATCCACTTCTAACAACGATCACTGGTTGGATAACGCTGAAAAAGTACTCGAAAATAGAGGTATCCGACACGAAGGCGGCACGAAGTGTAACACACGTTCATAGCCTATCCGTTATTTTGGGCGCTCTACGAACAACAGGTGAGCTCTGAGTCACGCTCGCACGCAAGACTGCTAATTTCCGCACATGAATATATGCATTCGAACAGATTACGATAAG